TTTTTGCTCCCTAATTCTTAATCCTAACCATAACTCATTTCGTTTTTTCATTCCTGAACCATTTACATTTCTGCAACCTCAAGCTTTGCCTTCCACATTTATCTGATTATTATTTTCTTCATTTTAGTCATTTTGCATCCCCTTCCATGATTTTCACACTTGGGATTGGCCTTGCCTGTTTAGGGTGGGGGAGCAGACTATTTGACATTGGTTTCACCCTCCAGTACCCAATACTCCTGTTTTTGCCTGATCCTTTTTACCACACTTCTTTACCTCTCCTTTCTACATCTCAAGTCTAAGGCACTCCACCATGCCTCATAAAATTTTTTTGGATTATTCTCATTCCTTTCTTTTCTCACTGTGGCCATTGCACTTCTACCATTCCCTGGTCACTCGCCTCTTTGTTACTGGGAACTATTTGGTAGGAACATTCTTTTATCCCAAGTTTTACTTCTTTCTTCCCTTACATGAGCCTTTCACCTAGCCCTTTTCTTTGCCCTGAAGTTTGGAGGAATTTCTGAGTTGATTGCATCACAAGCTAAGACTGCCTGTCACCAATTTTTGCTTTCATACTTAGTTTCACACTATCCCCAACCCTACCATGCATCATTGTACCTTGTAATAGTTCCTATTTCCCCATATTTTTATTCCAACTTCCTCTTCTACCTGGCACCTGCCTCATTGAACTCATCTGTGATGTTTCTGTTGTGTCTGGTCCCATGAATGCCTGACTGTCACAGTTTAAGCTCCTGTTGTCACACTTTTCCATCCACACAAGGGTTATTTTACTTTTTACCAATGGTCTTTCTCTCCAGTTCCTTTCCCCTCCTTTTTTCAATCCACATCTTATTTCCTTTTCACTCCCATCTATCTTCAAAATCTCATGGAGGCTGTGTTTGTCATTACTTGCAATAACTCTTCATTCCCACTCAATATCTAATTCACTGGTGGGGGTTTCAACAAATTCTCAGCTGGGATCAACCTTTTTGTATCTTCCTGCAAGCTACAACACTTATAGTCACCAGGGTTTGAGCCTATCATAATCATTCAGCAAGAAAGGTTTGAAAAACATTGCTTCATGGGGACTGCTTATCCTTTTGGGTCACATACATATGCACCTCTTCATTTGGTCCTTGCCCAACCAGAGGGATGCCTCTTGTCAGTCTTTGACCTCAGTGGTTTTCCAGTCTTTTCCTCTATAATATTATTTGTATGGATGGCTGGACCACTCCAGTAGCACTATCTGTGTTCCATTACTTTCAGCAAAACTGGACCTACACCTCTTCACTGATGGGAAGCATTCCTGAATTACATTTTTACATCTGGCACAGAGACCCAGTATGAGTCTTCTCTCTATATCCAGGTGCTCAAACTTTGGTGGATCATTTTGTTATGCTCTACTCTGACAACTCCGTTTTTCTGAAATTAACTGCCATGGGGGAATCGAATTCAGAACTCCCTTGCTTTCAAACCCTTGGCCTTCTTTTGGGTCAATTCTCAATGGATTGGTTTCCTTACCTGCCATGTACTGAGTGCTGTGAGTTGGGTTGAAGACTACCTCTCTTGGCCAAACTGTGTTCTGCCCACAGAATAGTCTCTTCTTCCCCCATTTCTCCATTGGAGTGCTCTCTTGGGGACTCCATTCATTGTTACCTTGCCAACCCTTTCAGTTTCATCATCTCCCTTCTCTGATCATCTGTTCTCCATCCCTCAGCTCTGGCTATCACTTCCTTTTGCCAGGTCTGGTCTTATATTTGTCATTATGCTCACTCACATTTCCCTCTTTTACCTTGGGTCCTGACCTTGACTCAAGACTCTCCTTGTTATGTCCTCTTGGCAGTACCCCTCTGGCTGGCTTAACCTTGGTTCCTTCTTATTTGCTTTCTGAGAACCAAACCCTCTCTTCCCCTGCCAATTATACACAATATTACTTTAACACCTCCCATATCCTTTCCATTGAGTGATCTTGCCCTTCCACCTTCACATCTGGATTTGCTGGGTCCATCACTTATTGAACCAGACTTTCCAATCTGGTAATCTCTTACTTTCCCACTCTGAGTGTCCTTCTACTTGGTCCCTTTATCCATGTAAGGGGCATGGCTTTTGATGTTGGTCCAGCCTTTGCCACCTTCCTCCTATCCGTTCTACTGTTGCACTTCTCCCTTCCTTTTACCTGGCTGTATGACAGGATTCAACTGTCTCCATCATTTCCAGTTAGCAAGCTCATCATGTACCACTTTCTATCATCCTTATATTCTTATTTATCCAGACTGGTCCTTCTTCCCTAACTCTTCAGCTGCTTTGGTAGAAGACTGCTTCCTTTCTCCTCTCTCCCTTTATTCTATTTCACTCTTCTATAGTCATTCAGACCCAGACAGATTTTTGTGTCTTATTCCTGCCATTTGTTGCTACTTAGCTCGTACCTCTCACTTTCTGTTTTCAATTTTACATTCTCTGGGATTCCTCTTCTTCCAGGGTCAAATCTCCTTCTACTCTTATAGGTAGAGTCTACCAATTTATATGTTTGTTCTACTCCTCATAGGTTATTGTTGCTTACAGATCATCTGTATTCAGTACCATTAGATGCATCACCTCTCTCATTCTCTCACTGCTCAGTTCTGATGGCCACTGGATGAGATCCTTCAAGCTGGTATGTAGACTACCTCTCATAACTTCCTTACACACTTTATTCACCATTTGGCTATCTTGTCTCCTTAAGGTTACCATCTGTCTCTGTTCATTATCCTATTTTTAAATCTGACTATTGTTCGTTTCAGACTGTACCTATTCTATGGACTATCATGGAAAATAGGAGCACCAGGGGATGCTCTGACAGCTTGCTGGCTTTACAAAATAGTGTTACTTGGTCACCCATTGCACTGTCTCCAGTAAAAGACCTTTCTGGCTGAAACAGAACTGATGGGGATCCAGCCATTTATTCTGGGTATCCCCACCACAAATTCCTCTCCCTTTTTCTTTGAGTGGAGCATGTTAGGCCCTTATCCATTACTAGTTCCTAGCTGTTGGGGTGGTGGACCAATGAGAATCCTCACTGATTGGTACTTAATCATTGAGGCTAGAATAAGGGGTGCCAATCAGTGGGACAGTGGTGACACTGTCAGTGTAACTAAGGTCACCCCCTCATATAATTATCCTCAATACCTACAACATGCCAGAAGCATATATTACTATACTGTGCCCTCCTCCAGCAGATTGCGACTGTCCAGTAGATTTGCAGCGAGCATGTTCTAAGATGTGTGCTTTCCTTCTGCAGGTTGTGACTGCTCGGTAGAGTCCAAGTGAGCATGTACTACTTTACTGTGCCCTCCTCCTATGGTCATGTCTGTTCATTTGAGTCGAGGTGAGCACATACTAACAAAACATGCCTCCTTCTACAGTTGATGACTGCCCAGTCAAGTCAAGTCATGCACTCTTAATACTGTTTACCTTATGACATGAATTCCATGTCCTCCTCCAGCATCTGGTGTTAGTCCAGAAGTCTGGCAGTAGAGTTGAGGTGAGCATGCACTAACATATTGTGCCCTACTCTTGCAGCTGTTGTCTGTTCAGCTGAGTTGTGGCAAGCATGCACAACATTATACACTATATGATATAATTTCTGTTCCCTACTTCCTCAGTTGGTGTCAGTCGACTAATGTCTGATGGTAGAGTTGAGGTCTGCCAACCTTGCCACACATATTGGCTGTCTGACCTCTTGAATGCAAGTACTCGTACAACCATGTTCTTATTTTGTCCATACCTGCTACACATGGGGCTTGTTTGCTTCTTCCTCACTTCTATTCTGGGTGAAGAGTATACCCTGGAAGAGATGAGATGAGTCTCCTACAGGTGTGACCCTATGGAGCACCTGCCATTGGGTATCACACTCCATGGTTTTCTTCAAGTGCTTTCTGAAGGGAGCTCATCTAGGTAGATTTCACACCAGTCCCTCTACCTTATCAATGTGGGATTCTAGATTTTTGTGTGAAGAGGTGTGTACAATCTTGAAAGTTAACATTTTCTTTACCTGAAATAGTATTTCCAATAGATACTCACCTCTCACACACTTCCCATCCTCCTCCCTACTTCAAGTGCACTTTAGACATATTTGCCTCATCAAGAATGAAACTTCATGAGTGCAAATGCATAGAGGGCATTAATGTGCAGGGAAGTTGTGTCACCCTCCTATTGGTGGAGGGCTTTTGCTGCATAATACTGTCGTTATGCAGTAGCGCAATTCATGAGAAGGCTAGTGGCATGTAGATCTTTAAGGCAGATGCACAAGGAAGATAGCTTTCTGTGTGAGAGGTGAATATCTATTGGAATTACATTTTCAAGTAAGAAATTGTTAATGTTTGTGATTTAGAATCACTTTCCAAAGTTACTCTTAATCGTTTTTTAATTTCAGTTCTTTAAATAGGAAGGAGATGTGCAAGACTTCAAATTTCTTTCAAACGAAGACTTAAAATTTTACTTTTAAAAGTGCATTTCATACACTGAATCAGCCTAAGCTTATATGTATTTTGTTAACAAAAGGTGATATATTTCTGCTGTATTAAAATTAAAAGTGCATTTCATACACTGAATCAGCTGAAGCTTAGATGTATTTTGTTAACAAAAGGTGATATATTTCTTTTGTATTAAAATTAAAAGTGCATTTCATACACTGAATCAGCTGAAGCTTACATGTATTTTGTTAACAAAAGGGTGGTATATTTCTGCTGTATTAAAATAACATACCAGGGAAGTTTTACAAACAGGCAACTAATACATGCTTGTTTATGTATGAATGTTGGCTTTTTAATTTTTATTAAAATATGTTAACATATCACAAAAAAGAAACCTATCTTAGTATTATGGATGTAGTATATAAAAATTAAGGGCTATAATTGAACTCCTAATGAATTAACTAGGGAAACTTGATATTTCTTCATAAAGAAATAGTTAAGGTTTATGAAATACAAAAAAATGTAATAAAACTGCATTGTTTCCTTTTTCAGGACGGTCTTGACTGGGTGTGTAAAAACATCGAAAGAAAATAGTCTTATAGAAAGTAGAGCTAAAAATTGGCAGTATCTAGTCTCTTGTCATGCAACACAACGCACATCTCTATTTATGCCATTCCACAATGTATTCCGTCCAAAAACATTACTGCAATACCCTCCTTCTGCCACACTGATCTGCGTAAAATGTGTAACAGGAGCTAATTCGCATGATGAGAAATATTTTTTATCCAATTACTGCAGTAGTAAATAACAATAAATAATAAAGCAGTTTAACCTCATAGAAAAGCTTTATTTCCATTATCTTATCTTTCCTGTGTATAATCCTATGCTTTATCTGATACCAGATTATGTTCCTTTATTATGAAATGTTCAAAGTTACAGACAAATTGTGTTTGTCACATTCTTCGTCTTTAGGTTTTAGTGTGAGAAGGAAATAATGAATTTAAAAAAAAAAATAAACATAATGAAAGGTTCTACTTTTTATTTTAAAAATACTCAACTTATCCTAAAATTAAGTATTTTTGTCCTTGTTTTCTATAATAACTTGGCTTCTTTTTAGCTTATTATCAATTACTATACCTGATGATGATTGGACATGAAAAAACCTCATAAGATAGAGATTTTGTACATTTCAGATGGAAGTTTTGAATGTGTTACAGGAGAGGGAGCTTTTAGTTATTGTTTAAGTTTTGAATGTATTGCAGGAGAGGGAGCTTTTAATTGTTGTTTTAGTTTTTATGGTGTACTTCAATGTAATGTAATAAGTGTGTAATGTAGACTTTCAATTCTAATGTTTTAATTATTGCTTTAGTTCATTGATGGTTTTAAACAGATCTTTCAAATATTCTTTTAGTTTGTTTAAAGCCCAGCATTCTTCTAGTTTCTTTTCCTCATTTATATATTTGTAGTATTTGTTTTTTATATATTTATTGGCAGACTCCAGATGGATCATCGATACCCTGAAATTATATTTAATGAGTCTGTTAGCTCTATATCAAAATTAAACAGTGTGGGATGTAATTAGCTCTTGAAACCTTTTGTTTCTTAATAAATAATTATTGTATTTTTTGAGGGTGGGTGGGTGGATGAATGGCACTTAAGGATTTACATTGCTTAATATTTCTTAAAAAATAAATCTTTTGTGTGGATTTGAATAATTAGACGAAGGTAACACATTTTAGTTGTGTGGATTTGAATGATCAGACAAAGGTAACACATTTTAGTTGTGTGGATTTGAATAATCAGACGAGGGTAACACATTTTAGTTGTGTGGATTTGACTGATCAGACAAAGGTAACACATTTTAGTTGTGTGGATTTGAATAATCAGACAAAGGTAACACATTTTAGTTGTGTGGATTTGAATAATCAGACGAAGGTAACACATTTTAGTTGTGTGAATTTGAATGATCAGACAAAAGTAACACATTTTAGTTGTGTGGATTTGAATAATCAGACGAAGGTAACACATTTTAGTTGTGTGGATTTGAATAATCAGATGAAGGTAACACATTTTAGTTGTGTGGATTTGAATGATCAGATGAAGGTAACACATTTTAGTTGTGTGGATTTGAATGATCAGACGAAGGTAACACATTTTAGTTGTGTGGATTTGAATGATCAGACGAAGGTAACACATTTTAGTTGTGTGGATTTGAATAATCAGATGAAGGTAACACATTTTAGTTGTGTGGATTTGAATGATCAGACGAAGGTAACACATTTCAGTTGTGTGGATTTGAATGATCAGACGAAGGTAACACATTTTAGTTGTGTGGATTTGAATGATCAGACAAAAGTAACACATTTTAGTTGTGTGGATTTGAATAATCAGACGAAGGTAACACATTTTAGTTATGTGAATTTGAATAATCAGACGAAGGTAACACATTTTAGTTGTGTGGATTTGAATAATCAGACGAAGGTAACACATTTTAGTTGTGTGGATTTGAATAATCAGACGAAGGTAACACATTTTAGTTGTGTGGATTTGAATGATCAGACGAAGGTAACACATTTTAGTTGTGTGGATTTGAATGATCAGACGAAGGTAACACATTTTAGTTGCCTTGATTAGAAAAGAACAATTATGTTTGTATAAACGAAAGAATTGTCTGTATAATCGATATTTCATCTAGTTGAATTTATTAATCAAAATAATGTGTTTATGAAGTTAATGATTAAAATTTATATAAAACTTTGACTGCAAGCTAAGTGATCCCTTTATTGTTTTAATATTTTCTTTTGCTTAGACTTCACATATTTGAGAGACTTGATTGATAAAAATAATCATAACTATTAGGACACTGTGAGAACATATTAACAATTTAAGGTAAATTAAAAAAAATCTCATTGTTGGATCCTATACATGAATTCTTAAAATTAATAAACTAAGCTGTCCTTTGAAACCCATAGTATCAAATATTGGTACTTATAGGTTTTTTTTTAGTAAACTTTCCAAGAGAATTGACTGAAAAGTAAATACAGTTTTAAATGTTCCTATTCTGTAAGTAATTGAAAATTCCATAATGATGTGAACAGTGAGCTTTGATGATGAGACATTGTACATTTTAAATAATATTCTTTTGATAGGAACTGTTGATTTATGTAAGACTTTGTTTTCCTCAGAATTATGTTGGTCTATTAAAGGATGTTTACTTATTTCAATTTTTTTTAACTATTAAAGAATTCCATACATTTGATAGAAATATCTGTGATCAAGTTGTGATATTTAGTATGGGACCTAAACAATGCTGTAAGTAATACATAATTTAAGATTTGTAAAACAGTGATTGAAGACTGTCAGCTAGTTCTGTAATTGATGCAACATTGACGATAGTTTTATTACTTGAATTGATTTTCTCTACTTTATTTGTAAAATAAATATCCATATGCTAAATTTATAGAAGAATATTATTGTAATTCAAAGTTTGTACTTATGGGTACCTTGATACATAATCAGTAATATAACTAAGATTTCTAGGTTTTTCCTAAATTTTAATTTTTATTTCCCTAAAATTTTTTGTGGAATTGAAATGAACATAATCTTCAAAATTCATACCTATCATGAACACAACATGTCATTAGTTTTCTGTCAGCTTTTCCAAATGTGTTTGTATTTTAGCATTCAGTCCCCTCTTATTATTATGATTTTAAACCATTAAATAAATGGTTTCTTGAAACCTTTAAACTTTAGAATTAAGTGTGTGCCTTCCTTACTTCACGAGTGAAAATCAAGTTATTTCAACCCAGATTTCTATAGATGTTATATGTTATTTTCAAAAATGTTATGGATAATGCCAAGAAAATTGTGTTACTGAAAGTTAAGCAGCATAATTTTATTTCACTAAAGTTTTTGTTCATAAAAATACCTAATTAAACTTTATGCAGGGTTCATATATTTGATGCTTAAAACAATTCACAAGAAGAAATGAAATTTTGTCTTATATTTATGCAATGTGTTGTCAAATTTTTTACTATTGCAAATAATCTTCAGGTTATATCTTTCAATTCTTCTCATTGCAGCTAATTGTTAGAGATGCAGATTATACGATAAAAATTTATGATAAGTACAGTAAAACTATGAAGCAAAAAATAGGTTTTATGTCAGACTTTCATCTTAGGTGCGTATTTGTCTAATTGTTTTATTCCTTATACCTAAAAATGAAACCATTCATCTCAGTAAGGGGAAGTTTTTTCAGATTTGTTGGTTTTGAAAAAAATCTTTCATGTTTTTGTATTTTTTTCATGGTGCCATTAGTAGTTAAATTCCTAGTAGTCTTTCAATGAAAAACTGTTTTTTTGGTTTACACCTTCTTGTATTCCTGTCTTATAAAGCTCATATCCCCCAATTGTTGTTCATAAATTAACCACTTCTGTAAAGAAATACATTCTATTAGCTGCAATAAGAATTTCTTTGTTTTACTTTTTTTTCTTTCTCCCTTGTTTAATTTTTGTTTATGATCACGAAAAAGTTGCAAATTCTTTCTAAACATTAAATTGACTATATTAAATTTTGCTTATTTCCTAAAATGTTGAAATTATAGCTTGTGTATTTGTTGTAACTCGTCTCTATTCAAGATGCTACTGTCATTCATAGGTAAGCCAGTGATATTTAATTTTCCATGTTCCTTTATGTTGGGATAATTGCTGAATGAGTCTCTTCTCCTTTGATATGTTGCTTTAGGTTGTTCAGACTATTATGTATGGCTGTCTCTTCATAGTTCAGATATTGTTGTGATCTCTTGATGATAATGATTTTGCCATCTATATTAAGTAGGCCTCCCAATTTTAGGATTTTCACCAGTGTGGGCTTTTTAGAATATAGAATTCCCATGAAGAGCTGTATAGGATCTGATCTAGAGATCTTCACTGTCCTGTGTTTACCAGTGTGGGTCTTTTAGTACTAT